GATTGTTTTGTTCGTGTTTCAAGATGGGTCTCGTTGATCGTGGTAGTCTTGAATGATTGTGTCAAGACTTCTGATCGATGCAATGATGTGTCGGTTTAGTTAAGTTTAGAGCAAGACTACTTGCAGGGTAAAGTGCCAAGTGACTAGGATCGGTACGTGTAGTCGACATCGAGATGGCCATTGGTCTTGTTCAAGGGTTTTCCTTTGCTGCGATGTTGAGTTCATACTTTAAATCTTTTGAGGGTTGTGATTTTAGGCATCAAATCGAATAAATTTGCTATTCGAAAGTTGGAATGTGGTTGGGTTGTCATTTCCTTTGCTGCTCGTTCCTTGGAGTCTAAGAAATCTTTACATACTGCATTTAAGGTTTTCATATACAATTAATTTTTGCTAATTAAGCTTTAGTACTGATTTAATAATTATTATTATCGCAAAAGCGTTTTACTTTAGTTTGGGTATTTTTTAAGAGTCGCTCACACTAGAGCAACTCTTGGCAATAATAAAGTGTGGGTCACAAAGAGTGGTTGTAGCGCGGGGGGTTAGGCCGGCTATAGAGCATGCTCAGGACGTCCCTGTGGTTGGTGAGGCCAGCAGTGAGGTATATTTTTATGGTCTCTTTGTGCAGAGTCTCTTCAATTGTTCAACCTTTTGTTTCATTTTTATTGCTTGTTTCTCTCTTTTTTTGGTTGTGTCCTTTTCTCAAAAACAGAATTTTTGGTTTGAGTTTGTCTTTTGACTTTTTTGTGTTTTATTTGGTTGTGGTGAAACTTGAAAGTGGTTTTCAAAAGAATAACTTATCCAGTTTTAATCTGGTTTGGTTACCGTGGATTTTAATTTTTCTTAGTCATGCTACTATTGTGTGGTTTTTTGACGTTAGTAAGCTGCGTTGAATATTTCAGTTTGCTGTATAATTCCTTCCAACCGGGTTGAGGGACAGTTTAAAACGTGTGAAAACTAGTTAGAGTTGTTATCAGTGAAAGTTGAAACTTAAAATTCCTTAATTAAATTATTCTTCGTGGGAATTATGTAAAAGCTGTGCAATTATGGAAAAAGTGTGTGATTTATGTGCGAGTGAATGATTTCTAATTTATAAAAGAAGCGTCTTGTAAAAAGTCAGTACTCTTTAAATTTATTTGCAATTTTTCTAAGAATCTACTACAATGAAATATTAATTTTACTGCTTTATGGAGGCAAATTTCACTGCTTTAGAGAATTAAACTTATGAATTTGCGGCTATTTAGAGGTAAATTTCACTGCTTTTAATTAAATACTGCAATTGCTAAAATAAATATAAAAATTCTAGAAAAAAGTTTTCAATTTTTTATTTATTTTTGTTTGTTTTAGATGAATGCATGATGAAATCATAAAAAAAAGTAAAACATTTAAAAAGAACAGTAAGTCGTGTTTGGAATTTATTAGTTAAAATTACTTAATTATACTTACTTAGGGTCATCGTTGGCAAAAAAATTCATTTGGGAAAACCTTGCGAATTGTGTTCGATGATGTTAGGAGTTTAGCAAGCAAGCGGATGACGTATTTAGTTTGTAGGAGAGGCCATAGAAGTTCGAGTGCTTTGATAATCTTGTGCTTTTTACTATTAGGTGAAAATTCATGCGGTGTGTTTTGAATTAGGCAATAAAGTTGATGTTATAATTAGTGTTGTGAATATATTCTAAGATTGGGAATTCGACGGGCAGTATATATTCGTGGGCGAGATTCATCAACGTTGAACGTTCCGGTTAGTAGTCAGAATATATACATTTGTCTTATGGGCTCGTAATTTTGGAAAATGCTTTGAAAATTAGTGTATTTTGTACAGTATGTGAAATTTAGAAAGAAGGGTGAAGTATATTCAGAATTAATAATTTGAATCAATGTTGTGCGTTTCGTGATGGTGTATTAGTTGTGTAGTGATGTTGGATAAATTTATAATAAGTGTATTTGTGAGTTTGTTTTGTGCGTAACATTAATTGATGTGAGCAGTGTGAGTCACGTTCTTTTGGTGATAGGAAATTGAAAGTTGATGAAAAATGCTTAAATTTATTTTAATCATTTCTCAATATTTTGTGAAAAATTTATGATTTTATGAAAAAATTTTCAGTTAGTTGGGGATTAGCGTTTTTATCGTCTTCTAAAATTGTATCTTCCATATAACGGGCAATAGCGTTATCATAGTGGTTAATTGAAAATGGGTTTGCTTTTTGGTGCAACAAGCCTATTTAGTGTTTGGGTTAGTTCGATGGTTGTGAGTTGTTTTTCATGAAGTGCTGTGGTTAGGTGATGAAGTCGATTTCCTAATTCAATTTCTTCTTGCTTATTATATAATGAAAGTAATAATGGGTTAGTGAAATGGTAATAAGAAGTCCATGAAATTGTGGGAAACAAGGCATGTTCGTCAAGGTAAGTTCGCTGATCGTTGTTAGTAGTTTGGTAATGAGTCTATTGTGGAAAGAATGTTAAGCACATTTGTAGGAATACTTTTGAAGGAAAAAATTTCGAGATGGTCGGGGGTTGGGAAGCATTGGGGTATTGGGATGTTTTCGTTTAAATACTCGGTGGGCTTGTGTTTCTTCAGTTGTGGATGCTGGGTTGGAGGATTCGGAGGATGTAATGGTTTGCGATAACTGATGAATTGTTAGTGTGTTAGGGTTTTGAAGCTGTTTTTGTAAGGTTGTAAAATTATCAAGTTCGTTTTCGAGTTCTTCATTAACGGGGCTAGGGGGGGTCGGGTAGGTCGCTGGTCATTGTGGAGAGAATTGGGGTTGCATCAGTGTAAGGAGAAGGGGCTGGGGAAAATTCATCGGGAGTTGGGGTATGGAGCGGGCGGAAGGTGGGTTGCAAAAAAGTGGACGGGCTGGGCTCGGAATTTCGGAATTGATCTGGAAATTCAATATCAGAATTGTTAAATTGTGAGATGGTGTGAAAAACTGTGCGTGCGGAAGTGTCATCAGATTCCATGCGTGGTGAATTTTTAGTGAATGATGGTACGGGAGAGGAGAAGGAGTGAGATCAGAGATTGATATGTTAGGAGAGTGACGTTGAAGATTGGATGTGTAAGAAAGGGGACGGCTGAGGAATCCAATCTGGCGGCTCATCGTGGGCTAAAAAATGGTTATTCTGAGAACGGAAATTAGTGGTATGTGGCTGTTCTATGATTTGTTTATACATTTCTTCCAAATTTGGTTGTTGGGCTATTGTGTGAGTAACTGGACTTTGTGGGTATCTATGAATTGTAGAGATTTGCTCGGTTATGGCTGTACTCCTATAGTTTCGTGGTAGTAAAAATAACGGTTGGTTATTACGTAAATTGTGTAATTGTTGTGCAGTGGGTGTTGTAATTTTGTTGTCTTGTGAATTATCATATGCATTTGGTGGGGTTGATATTTTTTCATTTATTTGAGCGTCCAGTAGAGTTTTGTTAATTGAGCTTGAAAATATTCCAAAAAATCCTGCGAATATAATGCGTGCTACACTTGCTGGTTTCTTTACTTGTGCGTGTGTTGCGTATGTGTTATAGATTCCTTTCAATAAAGAGAAGAGGAACCCAAAAAAATTAAACATTGCGTTTAATCTAGTCAACCTTTCTAAGATGTAATATCCAGCGTAGAAAGAAGAGAAGTTCGTTTTATGAATTTACAGAACTAAAGATGTTAATAGATGAAAGAACTTGAGGACGGTATTTTTCCCCGTTTGAGTAAATGTAATCTTTTATATCTTCGACATATCCACTGTTGTCTTGTGTATAGATGTCTGATTATCTTGTGGTTTCTGCAAGTTTTGCTAAACTCTGTTTAATGGGTAGCTTTGTATTGTATCCATTTTTGTAAGAAATTCTTGAAATTGTTGTGTACGGATGGGATGTTGTATATCTGATTTAGAGTTTATACCTTTTGATTGTAAATCTACGTTTGCGTTTCTGGCAAAAGCTCTGATACTTTGGTGAAAGTTTTTTAAATGGTTGCATAAAAGTAGGATATGG